ATAACCAACAAAGACACAGACAGGAAAAGAAATACATGCCTCTAATTAATTTTGCATTTGTTCCTATTAAAATTAAATTTATGCTAGAAACAATTTTTTTTTTTTTTTTTTTTTTTTTTTGGTTTGGAAGAGCATTGGATTTTTACCATGACATAAGTTCTCACACAAAAATAGATATTTCCATAAATTAATCATCAGGAATGAAATTTCAGAAATACACCTTTACAGCAGTCATGAATTATGCTACAAACCTTGCTTTTGGTTTCACAACGAAAATCCAGCTGCTGCACACGCAAGGAAAGTTTACCAGCTATTTGTCTTCCAAAACACCATGGTAAACAATGGCAACCAGGCTTAAGCACATCTTTGAACTCCCCATAGGTTTCTGTGATAGCCACAGTTGATTGTTTTACTTGAACGCAACCCAAAGCTTGCCCCATCTTCTGATCACATAAAACATAGCAACAGTAAAGAAAAACACATACAGTTCTCAGTAATGGCTCTAAACTAAAATTCAAAAAGCAGCATAATGCTTTAACCCTGTAATCTTGTCAAGAATAATATGGCTAAGTTTTCCAGCAGTTAAAATCAGTCATAATCCACTAAACATCTTGAAAATGCCTTCTTGATGAAAAATTCAACAAGTTATCACAATCCAATTAAGTGCCTATTATTATTTTTTTTTGGCCGGCCCATTAAGTGCCTTTAGAAAGCAACATAATACAAAAACTCCATACTAATATTTCCAGACAATAGGAAAAATGAGGATTTATGAAAAAAATAAAAAATGAAACACCCATATTAAGACAGGAAATATTAGTCGCAGTCTTGGCTTTCATTTTTGTGAAAGAGAGCAGTTTGTGTCTCCATCGTAAAAGACCGCTTTCATTTTTATGAAAGAGAGCAGTATGTATCTCTATCATAAAATAAATAAAATTAAAGTTTGAAAAGAACGATTCCTCCAGACTCCACCTAGATGGGAGCATGTGGGAAGCTAAAGATAAGAAGCAACTACAATTAAACCCCCAAAATTGATTAAAAAATAATATATTTGTATATAAATTGAAAATTCGATAAGAAAGAAAATTTTTTTAAATAATTATATTTAAACGATTTATTATTCTTTAATTCTTTAATTCTTTAACAATAAATTAATAGTAGTTGATGAAGTAATAGAAATGCTATCCAAAATGAAGACGTACAATGAGTATATGAACACTACTTTAAAAACATTTAGGGACCAAACGTTCAATTTTACCAAAAATTAGGGGGCCTCTAGCTCCCCCAATGACTAGAACCATTTCACAAGTATA